ATAAGGAAATGATACACATATACCGAATTTTTGGGTCAAAATCTTTTTTTTTGATTATCTCAAAATCGTGATTTTGACGTTTGGGCTGTTTCTATTGTCCATGCCCCATATAAAAAAATTTTTTTTTTATTTAGCAAAAAAAAAACTCTCTGTAATCTAAAAGCTTTATCTATTTACTATAATTTCTCTTAGTTTCATGTCTGTATCTCTTTATTTGAAGGCTCTGATACAATTTTTATTTATATAGTTTTTACATATATTCTTATTTTTTTTGAAAAAAGTTTGTTATTGATCGGCATTATGTTACATAACATAGTGGGGTTGGTCACAATGGTTGATCATCAAAAATAATAAACATCAATAACAAATTTTCATATATGCGGATTTTTTAAATGTTATTTTGAAATTTTTGTAATGCCTCCAAAATAGTAAAAATCAATAAAATTGACAACTTTGAACCTTTATAAAAAAATTTTCTACTAATATAATCAAAAAAACTCACTGATAGACTATTAATTGAGTGTTTTTAAATACAATTGCGGAAAGATTATTCACATAGCTTGCTTGGTTACTAAGCCTTTACATTTTAAATTCCCATTTTTTATAGTAAAAACCAATAAAATTGACAACTTTAAACTTTTATAAAATTTTTTTTTACTAATATAAATGAAAAAAACTCTCTGATAGGCTATTAATTGAGTGTTTGAAAATAGAATTGCGAAATATTATTCACACAACTTGTTTGGTTATTGAGCCTTTAGGTTTTAAAGTTTATCTAAATTTCCATCATTAATAGTAAAATCAACAAAATTGATAACTTTGAACCTTCACAAAAAATTTTTTTTACTAATATAAATGAAAAAAACTCTCTGACCAGTCATTAATTGAGTGTTTTTAAACAAAATCGCGGAAGGGTTGTTCTCACAGCTGGTTTGGTTATTGAGCCTTTACATTTTAAAGTTTATCTAAATTTCCATCATTAATAGTAAAATCAACAAAATTGATAACTTTGAACCTTCACAAAAAATTTTTTTACTAATATAAATGAAAAAAACTCTCTGACCAGTCATTAATTGAGTGTTTTTAAACAAAATCGCAGAAGGGTTATTCTCACAGCTAGTTTGATTATTGAGCCTTTACATTTTAAAGTTTAATTAAATTTCCATCGTTAATAGTAAAATCAACAAAATTGATAACTTTGAACCTTCACAAAAATTTTTTTACTAATATAAATGAAAAAAACTCTCTGACAGGCCCTTAATTGAGCATCTGAAAATACAATCACGGAAGTATTATTCCAACAGCTTGCTTGGTTATCAAGCCTTTACGTTTTAAAGTTTAAATAAATCTTTGATTATTTACTATAATGTTTTGATGATATATATATATGTGTAACATTAAAAAATCCGCACATAGTAATTTTCTATATTGACCTGAACTATGTTTGATGATCAACCATTGTGACCAACCCCAATAACATAGCGGGTATTCAATTTTAAGAAATGATCGGCATTAATTACACTACATATGTTTCATATACAAAATGACCGTCATCTGACTTTAACTCGACTTTGCGTCACCAAAATCAATTTTGTGGCAATAACAACAACATATTCTGATTTCTCACCTTTTATTTTATAGACTGCCAAAATAATTCAGTAAAAAGTGAAGTAATTCAGAAGTTAGTTATAGAAGTCTTTTTTGCAAT